TCGTGTTCGTCTAACAATTAACACATGATCAATCTCTTAATTCGTTGATGTGAGACTCGTCTCCTAGCAATCCTCAACCTTCTCTTTATTTATGTAGGCAATTCAAGAGCGTCATGAGAACACATTATTAAAAGCTGAAATGGAGAAACTTCGAGATGAAAATAAAGGAATGAGAGAAATTTCCAAGCGAAAACTCGGTTGTCCAAACTGTGGCACTACCGATGCCGGTGAAGACGACGTCGCATCGACAACCACAGAGCAACTGCGTATTAAGAATGCCAAGCTCAAAGTCGAGGTAACATTTAAATAATCGAGCTTAAACCCTTGCTCTGATTTAAAGTGTTCTAATTCACAGATTGAGAAACTACGAGCGGCACTGGGAAAACACCGACATGCAGCGGCGTCTCCGTCGTACTCATCGGAGAACGAGCAAGAGACGAACCAAAGCTGCTTAGATTATTACACAGGAATTTTCGGGCTTGAAAAGTCAAGGATCATGGAGAAGGTTCATCAAGCTCTTGAAGAGCTCAAAACAATGGCTGCCGCCGGTGACCCTCTTTGGGTCCGCAGCGTCGAGACCGGAAGAGAGATATTAAACTACGACGAGTACTTAAAAACCTTCCATCTCAACAATAATTCTAACCATCGTTGGCTCAAAACCCACATCGAGGCCTCTCGTGAGACGGCCCTTGTCTTCATGGAGCCCTCGAGGTTGGTTCAAAGCTTCATGGATGAGGTAAATAAATAAATTTTATGTTCAACACAATCCTGTGTGGAAATCACTAGCAGTAGCACAAACACTCTGTAGTTACTGCACTCTGTGCTATGATGAAAACCTAGATGTGATGGTAGAGGGATATTTATAATAGAAATTAGACAATAAATATTTTTCTTAAAATATTTAAATATGTTTATTCCTAAAATAAGTGATTGATTCTACTAAAATGAATACGGGCTCATATCATTATTGGGCCGGACTCTATTGAGCTAATGATGATATTTTGACATTTCGAACACGAACGAGGTAAATAAACAAATTTCGTGTTGAACACAACTCTGTGTAAAAAATACTCACCCTCCTTATTAATACCAATCGAGAAGAGATTACAAGACATTCTACCATTCTCCACCCAGTGATTTTCTTGAGATAAAAAATGTATTCTTAAAATAACTAATTCATTTTCCTAAAATGAATATAGACGGTACAATTATTGGGTTTGACGTTATTGCGCCAGTGATGATATTTTAACGTTTCCAACATAGATTTTTGTCGTGTTTTTGTCCCTTACTATGTCTTTCTTCAATTCTCACTTATGGTTTGTTGGTAGAATCAATGGAAGGAGATGTTTCCTTTCATGATCTCGAAGGCAGCTACGGTTGATGTTATTTGTAATGGAGGGGTTGCCAATTGGGACGGCGCAGTGCAATTGGTGAGCCTTAATTTTGAGTACGAGGCCTATAAATGAGAGCTAGATGAGTTAAAAATGGCTCATTCATTGTGTACTACAGATGTTTGCAGAGGTACAAATGCTTACACCATTAGTGTCCACAAGAGAGATGTATTTCATCCGGTACTGCAAGCAGCTCGACGCTGAACGATGGGCGATTCTCGACGTTTCAATCGAAAATGTTGAAGATAATAATATCGATGTATCGTTGGTGAAGTATAGAAAACGTCCGTCTGGCTGCATCATTAAGGATGAATTTAATGGTCATTGTAAGGTATATTTTTACTTAGAATCGAAAGATTCAAATCTCTAATCGATCAATAAAAGTGAAAGGTTTTTCAGGTAACAATGGTGGAGCATTTGGAATGTCAAAAGAACAAAGTTCATAACTTGTTCAGAAGCTTAGTCAACAATGGCGGTGGCTTTGGGGCAAAACGTTGGATGGCAACCCTCCAACTCCAATGCGAACGCCTTGCTTTCTTCATGGCAACCAACATCCCCATGAAAGACTCAAATGGTTAGCCCTCTTCTTCCTTCTAACCCAACTTCGAATATACGGTTAGTAGTTACTCGGGACATACAAATTTTTTAATCTACATTCAATGATTATTAAGAAATTATTACGATATAACCGCCTCCCGAAATAATTTTTTCAGTAAAAGGTGCTATTATATTGCTTAGTTAACATTAATTTCTTAAATTCAAAAAATTGAAAATTAATTAAATAAAAACTTTAGGTTTATTTTCTAACAATCATAGTATATGAATTTTGAGAGTAATGTTTTTCAACCATTTAATAGAAAAATATGTAACAAAATTCTTGGAAACTTAGATTTCATGTATTGTATAGTTAAAAAAATAAAAATTTAAAAGATAATAAACCAATTTTCATAAATTTTTTCTAAAATTAATATTAAAATTCTCAGAATATTCTAATAAATATAACAACATTTCATAAATAATACGATGATTAAAAAATATATTTATAAATTAGTCTTATATCTTACCATATATATATATACAACATACATACATGTGTATGTATATATATATACCTACACACGTATGTATGTATATATATGTAGCTCGACGTAGCGACTATTGAAACTGTAAGTTTGAAACATTACGTATTCAGGAGTTGCAACACTAGCGGGAAGAAAAAGCACATTAAAGTTGGCACAGAGAATGAGTTCAAGCTTCTCCCAAGCAATAGCAGCTTCAAGTTATCAGACATGGACCAAGGTTGTGGGCAAAACAGGGGAAGACATTAGGGTTTGTTCCAGGAAGAATCTTAGTGACCTTGGTGAACCCATTGGAGCTATTTTGTGTGCAGTTTCTTCTCTATGGCTGCCTGTTTCTCCTGACCTTCTCTTTCATTTCCTGCTAGACCAAGCTCGCGCCATCCGATAAAATACTCGAGTATTCATACATGAACATACCTTAGTTGTCCTACCACCCCATCAACTTAAGCTCTATTGGTAAGTTGTCATGAAGAATAAGTTCATGCACCTCTTATACATGTATTGACATTTATTTGATTCATAACCTTAGTTCATAGATTTCATTTATTTAGCTTATAACCTACTAACTCTTATTTATTTAGTTCATAACGGTTCATAATTCTCACTTGTTTCGTTCATCTCTCATTTATTTGGTTCATCTTTCCCTTTGATTTAGGTATTAAATTAATGCTTCTATGCCTGTACAAAGGTTATCTAGGATCATTTTGTATTTGTTGAATGACATTTTGAGTATATTTATCAAGAGACTTTGCAGGGTGAAAGTGTGAGATATACACTTTATAATCACTTTGATTATTGAGAATGATTGCTATGAGTGGATTAGAGGAACATATTCTCTCAAACCACGTAAATTTTTATGTCTATTTTTTTTTTAATTTCTGTTTGTGGGGGCCTAAGTTGGATCCATCTTGCTTCCACTTCTTCGAATACAAAAGTTTTTTTTTTTTTTTTTTTTTTTTTTTTTTTTTTTTTTTGTGGGACGCTATGTTTGGTGGAGATGAAGCTAAGTCGATTGCAAATTTAGCCAAGGGACAAGATAGAGGCAACTCAGTTACCATTCAAGTAACTAATGATTGGTTCATGAAATTTTAGATTTTTTTCATTTCCGAATGTCTAATGGAAAGGCTAAAAGTTGCAGACAATAGGATCAAAAGAGAGCAACAGCAGCAGCGGCATGTGGATCCTCCAAGACAGCTCCACAAACTCGTCGGAATCCATGGTGGTTTACTCCGGAGTAGACGTTACCGGCATGCAGTCGGTGATGACAGGCTGCGATTCCAGCAGCCTCACCATTCTCCCTTCTGGCTTTTCAATTCTCCCCGACGGCGCTGTGTCCAGGCCGCCCCTACTCATCACTCGACAGAAAGACGACAAGACCGCCGACACCAATGGCGGCGTTCTGCTGACTGTCGCCGTTCAAATCCTCACCGACGCCTCTCCCTCTGCAAAACCCACCATGGAATCCGTTGAGTACGTTAAAAATATCATTTGTTGTACGCTAAAAAATATCAAAACCAGCATGCGCTGTGAGGAAGATTGATACATAACCTATAATTGATACATAACCTATAATTGATCCATATAGCCTATATTATCCTTTTTTCCATGTGGGTTTTGCTTTAATTTGTTTGAGTGGAGTTCAAATTTGATTTTAACAACGATAGTTAAGTGAAAGTATATCTCTGTTGGCATGATATGTTTTGAAATATAGAAAATAAAATCATAAGAGCTTATGCCAAAAATGGACAAGATCATATGATGGTAGAGACATGGAGAATTTATTATTCTTAACGAATGATATCAGATTTGTTGGATTTGACCCATGATCAAAATATGTCCAAACAAATAAAAGAAACATGGAATAAATTTAACCGACTTTCAATTCTTGTGTTGTTGTAATTATAAAGAGAGCATACATCAGTATTTATAGTAGAGAAATCACTAACTAGCTTCCTAAACTTTCTTCCTCATTAAAAGCACTAAACTAGTACTACCAGTTCCACAATTTGGCAACTACTACCAATTTTACTGCCGTTGTTCCATAAATTAGTAATTTATTCTACTAAGTCTACCAACAATTCTCCTAAGTCAAGTTTATTAGCTCACAAAATTTATGTCCTTGACTTACCTATGACACATTAATATTGTGATGTCCCACATTAGTCCGTCCTTGACTTACCTATGACACATTAATACTGTGATGTCCCACATTAATCATTAGTTGGGAAGAAAAACAAATCATCATTTATAAGGGTGTGGAAACCTTCTTCTTGCAGACCCGTTTTAAGTCCAAAGAGGACAATATTTGCTAGCGATGAATTTAAGCGGTTCCAGATGACGTTAGTATATAAAATTGCAATTAAAGTTTTACTAGAGAAGCAACATAATTTACTTAGATACACACAAATCTCCTCTAAAAATGACCACGAAAGCCCAAAGCAAGGTCCAAAATCTTCCACCATATCAACAAGGATAGGCTTATCCACTTCCTTCCAACGTGGCACATCCTGAGTGACACTCCAAATTGTCTTCCAAAATCCCATTTCGCCACGTGTCAAAAGAAAATCCAATCATAGGATCGAAATCCCATTTGAAGCCTCACCTCCTCCCTCAGCCTGCAACTCCAAGTTTGTTCCTTTTCAATCCAAAACGCAGACAACAATGGCTTCCTTAGCAACATTAGCCGCCGTTCAGCCGGTCACCGTAAAGGGCCTTGGTGGAAGCTCCCTTGCCGGAACTAAGCTCCCTCTCAGGCCCTCTCGCCAGAGCTTCAGACCAAAAAGCTTCAAGTACCACAAATTTCTCTAATTTCTTCTTTATTTTGGTGCATATTGATTTGAAACTTCATGAAACTTGTGGGGTTTTCCCCCTTTTTGTTACTCTGTTTTCAGGGCTGGTGCTGTGGTGGCTAAGTACGGTGACAAAAGTGTTTACTTCGATTTGGAGGATTTGGGCAACACTACTGGACAGTGGGATTTGTATGGATCTGATGCTCCTTCACCATACAATTCTCTTCAGGTTTGTAGCTCATTCTCTTGCTTTAATAAAATTAGAATGATAATGAGATCTCGTTGGAGAGGGAACGAAGCATTCTTTGTAAGAGTGTGAAAACCTCTCCCTAGTAGACGCGTTTTAAAATCGTGAGGTTGATGACAATACATAATGGGCCAAAGCGGATAATATTAGCTAATGGTGGACTTGAGCTGTTACAAATGATATCAAAGTCAGGCACCGAGCAATGTGCCATCGAGTATACTAGGCCCCCAAGGGGGGTGGATTATGAGATGTCACATTGGATGGAGAGAGTAACGAAGCATTCCTTATAAGGGTGTGGAAACCTCTCCCTAATTAGCATGTTTTAAAACCGTGAGGCCGATGACAATATATAACGAGCCAAAGCGGACAATATTCGCTAGCGGTGAACTTGGGCTGTTGCAAATGGTATTAGAGGACACTAGGTCCTCAAGGGGGGTGGATTATGAGATTTCACATCGGTTGAAGAGGGGAACGAAGCATTCCTTATGAGGGTGTGGAAACCTCTCCCTAAGTCGGTGTGTCTTAAAACCGTGAGGCTAATGACAATGTGTAACGAGCCAAAGCGGACAATATTCGCTAGCGGTGGACTTTGGCGGTTACAAATGGTATTAGAGTCAGACACCAAGTAATGTGCTAGCAAGGACGCTAGGCCCTCAAGCGGGGAGGAATATGAGATCTCACATCGGTTAAAGAGGGGAACGCATTCCTTATAAGGGTGTGGAAACCTCTCCCAAACAAGCGCGTTTTGTTTTTTACAATGTAACGGGCCAAAAATAAAGCATTCCTTATTTTTGGTGTATTTATAGAGCAAATTCTTTGAGACCTTTGCCGCTCCATTCACCAAGAGAGGATTGTTGCTCAAGTTCTTGCTTCTAGGCGGTGGAGCCACATTAGCTTATTACAGTGCCACTGCCCCAGATGATGTTCTTCCCATCAAGAAAGGACCTCAACTTCCACCAAAGCTTGGGCCTCGTGGCAAGATCTAATTCGCTTTCAAATCCTTTTGCAGTATGTAAATTTTCTCTCTTATCCTCCCAGTTATGTTTCAATTGAGAAATTGTTATTATGTAATGAATGTACTTTTACAAAGTGTTCTTGCCAGTTTCTTTGAAAAACTGATGAAGATATGGGTTAAAAAGACTTATTCTTTCTAACAAAATTGACTAAAACTTACCCCTGCAGAAGAACCATATTAAAAAAAGACTCCAAAACCAATAACTTGTGCTCATCCTTCATATGTACAACAGGAATGAATTGAATGGACTTGGTAATTACAGCTCTAAAGAAAACACAGACAAAAGTAGGTTGAGCTATTAACTGTGTTGTGTTCTTCTGTTATGTGTTGTGTCAATGTCGTGCCGTGGGGCTTTTTGTCCCGCCTATGTTCTCGAGGTAAGAAACCAACTTGTTGTTGGTCGCTATGTTTTGAAGCTTTTGCACAGGCCTTGGTTCAGTTTCTGTGAACACATTTTCTGCATTCTCTGTTGGCGATTCCTTCTTTACCTCATTATCAGCAATATCCGGACCCCAATTCATGAAATCCAATAGTGTCATTGAAGTAGGTGTGTCTGCAGCACTTTGTGGCTCTTCTCCTGAGCTCACCACGGTTTCCCGTGTCGAGTTCTTCTTACTCGATACTTGTGATGGATTTTGAGCCATGTAATCTGCATCGAGTACGTCCTCAATCCTTGACATCACTGTGAAGGCCAAGCTTTCAAGAATTCTTGAGTAACTCTCTAGAACAGCCTGTCCAACATCCTATAAAACCAAACCACTCTCCCATTAGACCAAATTTAAGAAGTCATATAATGTCTTAAACACAAGTACTTTCCAAAAAACATGTTTTGCACCCTGTTGTATTGGATTTTGCTGATGTCTAATGCTGATTGAGGAGTGCCTGGGAAACGATGTTTGAGGATGAGTAGAATCGTTTCCGCTCGCTCCTCGAAAAGCTCTCGTTTCTCCAAGCTTACAGCTGAGCCCCAAGCAGATTTTCCATCTTTCTGGTTCATTTTCCTCTTCCATATCACAATGGAAGCTTCTATTCTATCCTTGAGATCTAAGATCTTGTGCTCTGAAGATAAGTCCAAGGTAGACAGAAATTGATCCGGGTCGAAGTACTCGACCGTTATGTTTCTGTACACGGAGTCTCCAAGGCTTTCCCTCCCGTTCTGCAAGTTTACATATTCAATCACAAAATCAATGAAAGATAGAGCATTTATGATATCTGTAACAGCCCAAATCCAAGCCCACCGCTAGCAGATATTATTCTTAGACTTTTCCATACAGGTTTCCCCTCAAGATTTTAAAACGTGTCTGCTAGGGAGAGGTTTCCACAACCTTATAAGGAATGTTTCGTTCTCCTCTCCAACCGACGTGGAGTCAAAATTCACCTTAGGCAATAACTCTATGTAGTTTTCTGGGATCTCCATTTCTGATAGAACTTGTGCATTGATAGCCATGGCTGCTTTAAGGACTTGGTTTACACAATCCTTTTGGTACTGCATAAATTTCCTTGAGTTTTCAGATAAACCATTCTCAGGAACTTTTGGAGTAGGTAGCCACCATTTGTCATCTTTTCTCTTTGAAGCATTGTCTTTATTACTTGAATCTCTGGATAAGTAGTAGAACTCGGATTGGTCCTTAAAATTATCCAAACAAGCCTATACATAATGTGAAACCATTAGAAAGATTCATTAAATCATATTAAACAGGACAAAAAGTAAGCAAGATTAGCAATCTTTTCCTACAATAAGCATCGCATCGAGCTTCCGCAATGCCGGGATGTTCATGTGAAGATCGTTGCGTTGTCGGGTAACCATGATCTGTTAAATCAAAGAACATGAACTGAATTATGATCTATAAATGCATTTTGAAGCTCAGAAAAAGAGAGGGAGAGAAAAAATTGCCTCCATGTTTGTTCCATCCTTGGATTTCTGTTGGGAAGGAACAAATTCAACTATGTAATCAGTGACTGATAATAGCAAGTCAATCTCTTTTCTCCACCGTGTTTTTCTCCCCTCCGACATCGGCTCGAGACGCCATTGTTCCCCGAAAACAGAAGCTGCAAAAACCATAGGAGAAAGATGAAAACTTGACTCTCTAGATTCAACTACAAAACTTATCTCGACTTGCTTCCTCTAACAGCATCTAACCGAGCATAATTCAACTGATATCGTCGATATTATCGACACAAAACTGAAGATCGATACACGAACGACATACCTGCAAGATTCGTAATTGCATTCGACAATGCTAAAGCCGACGAAACACCCTTTCCTCCACCGGACATATCTTCGCCCAACAGCAACTTAGCAAACCTCTCCTTCATCTGTTCTATTTCTGATCATATCCAAGAAGAACACACCAGTTTTAAACCAACCTCAATAATGGCCTTTTAGTTCATACAAAACAATAGGATTAGACATCTATGTCACAAACATCAAAATGTCAACCATATAATATAAATAATCATAATGTTACAACTCGTTTTGAGAAGTCATAAACTATAGTTTATAATTTCAAAGAACAGAAAATAAAACAGACAAAAAGATGTCTGAACCTGTTGGCTGATCTCTGGAGGGCTTGGATTTAGGGCCTTTGTCCGGTCCATTAGCGGGGGGTTTGTCCAACCCGCCGTCGTCTGGGGGAGCTAATCCCTCGTTTCTGTTGGAAAACAAAACATTATTATTATTAAACTCTCCAAGCTCAAGCTTCTGGAGTGTTTTATGTTTGAAATTGAAGAATTTGGACCTGCAATTCTCTTCCTCCTGCTCCATTTCTCGTACCATTTTCAGCTTTTTGATGAATCTTTTGATAGAATAAACGAGAGAGAATAAACCAGCAATCTTGACAGACCTGAAAAAACAAAGTTCATAGAAGAAGAACAAAGGAGATGTTTTGGAAAGAGCTTAATAAAACAGAACCAAATATGTTGGTTTTGGCTTTGAATTGGAATGGGAAATGGGTAGCAGAAAGTGGGTTACATGCAGGCTTTGATGGGTAGCTGAGAGATGGCTTATGAATTGAAACAGGGAATTTGGTTATTGATGGATGGATGGCTGTGGTTTTTCTTGGGAAAGTCAAAGGCTCTTAAAACTAGGGGAAGACAGACATGCTTGCATGCCCGACCATTTTTTTTTTTTCTAAAACTCACAGCTCAGATCTGAAGAACCCAATGGTGACTTCTTGTTTTCTGTTATATTTTGACAACATTGTACAGATTGTGTCGTTTTTTTTCCTGGTTTTTCTGGATCTGGTTTTGCTAAATAAATACAGTTTCTGTTACCACAAATCATTTGTTTGGTTTTGGGTTGGATTAGATGGTAATTTCCTCTTTGACCTAAGTTTGAAGGGAATTTGACAAAACTTGTCCTATAATTGTGGGAGATGGAAGATGGAAGATCATACCCATATAGGTTTGAAACCCCTTGACTATTGTTATTTTATTCGACTCGATTCAAAACCCTTTTGCGAAACTTTACCGAATTTGTTGGAAATGTGACCGAAGTTTATATTGATTAGATAAGAAAAGATCAACGGTGTATAAGTGGGGAACAATATCTCCGTTGGTATGAAGGTATGTCGAAAGTGAACAAGAATCCTCTCGTATCGAACAAAAAGGTTTATTTGTCCAACTATGTGGCTTCATCGAGAGATTGCTCTTATTCAAGCCAACTTCTCTGCTCGATCACATTGTGGATACATAGTACGTCAACCACTTTTGTTCGGCATTTGAGAATTTATTGACAATTCTACGTTACTAGAACTTTGAGACTCATCAAATTCTTCTTTATTCGACACTGGATAATTCTATCAACATGGTTAGATCTTTCACGTATCTCTATATAGTGGTATGATATTGTTTGATCACAAAAAAGCTCCGTTTTTAGAAACTAAAATAAGAAAATCAAACGATATCTACACGACTCGATATGGAAGGAGAAGGGCCTTTGAAAATAAGAAAGTTGAGAGTCTCCAAAGTGAAGTAGATGAAAGTCCCTTGAGAATGAGTGAAAAAGCTCCCAAAATTGGAACCCACCACGCATTGCCATCCCATCCCATGCCCATCATCAAACTTCTGCACAAAAGTTGAACCATCATTTACACAAACAAATCCACAAAACCATGAATGAAAGATCAAACCAAGTTCTTTCTCAACTTTACTGATAGAACTCAGCTCAGAAGTAGACAATTTCACATAATACCGACATCGAAAATCGAATATAAATGACCTTCTTGATGTGGGCAGCAATGGATTTAGAGTCAAAAACATCATAAAGATCGAGAGCTTCAGAAGCAGCTTTCATGGCTTGGATCTGCAACTTGAGAGGCATGTCTGTATCAGCAATCAAAGCCTTCCCTTCCAGCATTGTTACTCTGTTTCTCAGTAATTTAAGCTGTGTTTGAATGTTGTAAGAACCCAAGATCTGATCTTGATGAACACCCAGAAAAAGAAATCCAAATTGTAGCAGATTTGTAGAGGCGATGATAATAAATGTGGGAAGATTTTGAGTTCCAAACGTAAAGGAGGTGTGTCTGATGCAGCCTCGAGCTGGCACATTGATTGCCTTATCGTTTCATGATCTTTCTGCATTGCATTTTTTCTGTTGATCTTTGAAAAATTTGTGTATAAATTCCATTCATCCACTTTCGTCTCACACGTTTTCTTGTGTTTCTTCCTTTTATTCTATTGTTGCCCACTTTTGTTGAACGAGGGGTATGAAACAGAGTATTTTATTACATTACTTCTTTCATAGAATTTAGGCTAAATTATAAAAAATAAGAAAGACAGGTTAGACGAACACAATTCTTCACAATGGTATAATATTGTCCGATATTGTATTTTGAGCAGCTTTTATAGCTTTGCTTTGGGTTTCCTCAAAATGACTTCCTTAAATTAGCTAATTTGGGACTTTCATCCACACACCTCCTTTTTCTTTTGGAGTTTCTGTTCGACATTTGAAGATTCTATTGACATGATTAAGTCTAAGGGGCATGGTTCTGATACCATGTTAGACGAACACGACTCTGTACAATGGTATGATATTGTCCACTTTGAGCATAAGCTCTCGTGGCTTTGCTTTGGGTTTCCCTAAAAGATCACAAGCCAACGGAAATAGTATTCTTTGATTATAAACCCATGAACATTCCCTGTTAGCAGGATTGGGACTTTTATCCATCGACAAGAGCTTTTAATTTTTTTTTAATAATATTTTTATTTTTTTAAAATAAAATTCATGAATACACTTAGTGTTAATTTTAAATTAGTTCGAACATTTTGTTTATGATGTGTGAAAAAAAAAATATGATAAAAGAATATTTTGGGAAATAAAATGACCGGAGATCAAGTAACCATATTTGTGTGCGGAAATGTTATCCGAATTTCACATAAATAAGGTATTTTTAACAATTTTGTTACCTTATTTCATTTTAGATAATTATTGAGTTTTATGATATAAATCCCAACATATTTTAAACATGTCCTATACGATAATAAGATCTATATTTTTTCATAAATTGAATGACAAATTGCAAAATGATCTTAGTAACTATACATTACCACATTATGTGCTCAGGTAATTAGTGACTAAAGTCATTTAAAATAGTGATCGGTGAGGGGATCAAGGTTTTGTTTTTTGTTATACGTTAATTGTCCATAGGTTTTTTGGGAACTGGTCATAAGTGTATGGCTAGATGGTTAGGGTCTCTATGTACTAGTTAGGATCGAGCTAGACGATCCTAATCTAAGACATGTCACGAGCTAATGAACCACTTTGAAAAGAAAATGGGTCCCTTCATTAACGATATTTTTCCGTAACAGTTTTGCTTGATTTAATTTTGAAAAGGTGAGTCATTAGGTGATCTAAACATTTCATCCATATACTAATAATAATGGTACTTTCAATTTGCTGTTACCGACCTAAATATGGTTAGACTAATTTAAGTCTATATTTTCAACTTAGGTTAGAGTTCGAATCTCTCTAATTGGTCGTTGAAATAAAAAGAAAAAGAAAAAATTAATAATTTTTATATACAAAATTCAATTTTAGTGGCTTATATGTTAATAGATTCATAGATATTAAAACAAATTAAAGCTCAAACCTAAATTAGTGAATCAAGGGTGATAGTCCCACTCACGTTCTACTTTAGTTTGGTTGACCTAAGGACCGACAGTTTTAATTTCAATGGCTCACTCACGATTTCACACGTACAGCCAATCTCCCTAATCGGCTTCCCTCTTTCCATTTTCCTCTGAATTCATCCCCAATTAGCGCCATTTTTACAGTAACCAAAGAAGAAGGAAAGAACCCTCAAAAACCCCATTTCGCCTCACCTTCTGAGCTTTTCCCCAGATCCATTTTCATCTTCACTCGAATCATCATTTCCTTCCTTCAAATCCAAAAATCCATCAATTCAGAACCCATTACCATGATTCTGAGAAAACCCACTTCCAGATTCATCCTTCTCGCTTTCACCCTTCTCCTATTGTTCGGATTCTTCGCCATTGTTTACTCATCTGAGAGCAACGCAGTTGAAAATGGCGATGAAGATCTCGAGGGTCTTGAGGAATTGTTGGCATTGGATGAAGAGGAGGAAAATCAGCAGCAGGATGGGGCTAATTTGAGGACCTCAGAGGCGAAGGTATTGAGTAAAGCACAGAGGATAGTTCTTGAACTTAGCAATGATAAGAGTGAGAGAGTAATTGAACAAAATGAGTACGTTTTGCTTCTGGGTTATGCCCCTTGGTGTGCTAGGAGTGCTGAGTTAATGCCCCATTTCGCTGAGGCAGCTAATTCACTTAGGGAATTGGGAAGCCCCATTTTAATGGCGAAGCTTGATGCCGATCGCTATCCAAAAGCGGCTTCTGCCCTCCAAATTAAGGGGTTCCCTACACTTCTTCTGTTTGTTAATGGGACTTCTCAAGCTTACACTGGTGGATTCACTGCGTAAGTAGATTGTTAATGGAAATTGATCATATTATCTATTTTTATAATTGAATCCTGTCTTGATTTGTTTGAATTGGCGTTATTTTTCCATGAATTCAGGGAAGAGATTGTGATCTGGGTCCAGAAAAAGACTGGTGTGCCTGTTATAAATATAAGCTCTTTGAACGAAGCTAAAGAATTTCTTAAGAAGCACCACATGTTTGTTGTTGGTCGGTTTGAGAAATTTGAGGTTTGTTACTTCTCTGTGTACCTCGTATATGTATGTTTTCTTTTAGAGAATTTGGACAAAATAAAGAACAAACCGCAGTGCGAACACAGCTTTAAGTAAATAGAACATCATGTTACAGGAGCTCGACTGCCATACTCCAAAGGGGGTCGTTTTTAAGTTACAGTCTTGAGCCTAATGAACCAATCTTTCTACTAGCACCCTAGATCCCAAAAAGTCACTTTGAATGTTGCATTGCTTGTTTTCGGATCGAATCAAAATAAAATCTCTGTTCCCAAGTTCTTGTAACTTGGTTGTTTGATGGCAAAGGAAAGGTCCTGTCGAGGTCTTGTTTCGCCGTTTTGTGGGGCGTTTGGCTTGATAGGAACGGCGTTTAGGCGTTTGTTGTTTATTGGCATAGCATCATTAGTGCTTCCTGTCTTTACTCTATATATGTATTAATCATGGAGGATCTGGTGAAGAAATGTGTTTTATTTTCTCAAGGGGCCTGCATATGAAGAATTTTTTAAAGCAGCCTCAGATGACAATGAATTCCAGTTTGTTGGGGTGAGCGACATTGAAGCTGCAAAGGTCCTCTTCCCAGATATTAAGCCCTCAAACAATTTCCTTGGATTGGTTAAAGATGAGGAGGAAAGATATAGCGCGTACGGTGAGTTGGATCGATAGTTTAAAATTTTTATTATGAGCTAGCTTGCATGCACCCCGGACTGATAGTTATGTGGATGTTAATATCATCTTTGCTTACTTATTGTATGTTGCAGAAGGAGGTTTTGAAAGGGAAAAGATATTGCATTTTTTGGAGCATAACAAGTTTCCATTAGTCACTAAACTGACGGAAATGAATTCGATCCGAGTTTACTCCAGCCCTGTTAAACGCCAGGTTCCCCATATGTCTCATATCTCTTTGAATTGCATCCTTTCATGTACATCTCTACATTCTTTGCATTCTGGATTTGTTTTCTTTCTTTTTGGGTTTCTCATAAGTTGATGAAGAAAAATGTACTTGTAACAACCAAAAAAAAAAAAAAAAAATGTAATTTTCTAGTTTTTTGGATCCTGTAATT